CTCCCAGGAGGAATTCTTGACTTAGAGTCTGCTGAAGATATTGCCTGAATCTGAGATAGCTCACAAACGTTCCTAGCGGCACTGGCTGTCCGTCACTTCTAGCTTTGCTTCTCACCCTCGAAGTGCAAAGTGTTCCTCCATGATTGGCAGGCATCTCCTCCTACGCTGACCCTTGGTGGGGATCAGTTAGAAGTCGTTCAAAGATTCTACTACCTGGGAAGTTGTATCAGCGCCCCAGGGGCTTGAAGATGAGATCACGAACCGACACCATCGACAGAGCGTCAGATACCAAATCCCTTCGTCCCGCAAAAATGTCTTCATTTTCATGGAGCAGGACTCGAAAATCCATGGCAGCAAGGGATGAGCATGGCTTGCCTACGAAGTTAACCATGACTCAGAGACTTGGGGCAATTCCCCGACCCATCGCAACCATTGCAGTGCACTTGTCCATGAAGAGAAAGTAACTTATCAACTGTGCCTAGCCAAAAAGGTCCCGGCAAACAACAAATTACTGTATATGCATTTCAACAATCTTCGGAAAGAAAGCATGTCATCCCTCCACTTTTCACGACAGGCGGTAGAGTACAAAGCGCCGAAGTAGCAGCCAATGCCCTGCGATTACAATATGCCCTAATTTTCGAAATCGCAGCCTCTACCTGTCCCATAAGGTCATACGCATTACCCACTCCCTTGTTTACACATGTAATTTTTAACCCATCAATTGTGCTAGGGTACTTATTCTCACTGCACGATCATAGCTCTCCGGGAGCCGACATCATCTACCCAAAGCACTGAAGGCTGTGGCCATCAAGCTAGCTGAACCATTGTCACAGTTCTTTCAAAGGTGCGTTGATGAACAACATGTCCCCACTATGTGTTAGCGTGGCATTATCACCCCAATTTTCAAATGCGGTAACCGTTCGGTTCTTCCAAAATATCGTCCAGGGGCCCTTCTTCCTGTGCTCGCGAAGGTGATGGAAGCGGTCGTCGCTGAGGCCTTAATTAATTAATTAATTAATTTTATTTATTTAATGGACTACCTGGAAAAATGCAACATTTTGGTACCGGAACAGCATGGCTTCCCTCAACACCGGTCATGCACCACCAACCTACTTATTGCACGAGGTAGTTGGACGGAAGTGGCTGATGATGGGGTCGGAGTTGACGCCATTTATCTGGACTTCTCCAAATCTTTCGACCACCTGTATCACCACAGCCTACTTCACCGGCTACGGAGCTACGGAATCGGAGATCCAGTGCTTGGTTGGATTTTCAACTTTCTTCAACAACGGAAGCTTCAAGCACACCTTAGGAGATCAATCTTTAACCCGATTGCGGTGGAATGTGGTGTCCCACAAGGCTCAGCGCTGGGACCGCGCGGTCGCAATAAGTGTTCTCCTGCGTTATTCGCCTCTAAATCTTTAGGTTTATTCTCACGGAGACCTACGTGCTATCATTGGATTTGTCTCCGCGAGCTCCTCCTACCACTGTTCATCTACTGGATCTATCACTCGCGGATCACCAGCAAACTGTGCTCTTGCAACTTCGAAATCATAGCATTTACACCTTATCGGATGATTTATTTTTCCGCTCGTCGCACAAGAACTCGGGTGGACTTATTTTAAAGACCTTTTTGAGAGTCACTCGATCAGCTTACTACCATTCCTTCAAGTTGCTGTACAAAGCGATAGTCGTCAAATTGATCCGCCCTTAGAACAGCCACTGTCGTCATTAGACCGTATTTTCCGAGACATCTTGCTTTGCCTCAATTCTACGCTGCATCGCTGCCTACCCACTTACCGCCTGGATTGATAGCACACACATCGCCTATGTACCCTAAGGAACGTGTGACTCATCTGGCCGCGACACGCCTGAACCCGCTGACCTCAAGCCAGCGCTGATAGCCACGCAACGGTGCGTCAGTATCTCTGACATCTTGCTGCCAATTAAAACAGCACGCCTACTGTGAACATGTCTCGTATATAGCGCAAATGCGAATCATGTGCCAAAGGGTTTAAAAATGATAAAGTGTGTACCATGTGTTTGAAATCCTATCACACTACCTGCGTTGGGAAGGGGTCGACGAAAGCAAACACCGTAGAGGCGTTTTGGTTCTGCCAAGTATGCAATTCTATTCCCTTTGTTAGCTGTCTATCTGTGCTACTGAAGAGGTGTGAAAGACTAACTAAAGCGGTCGAGCAACTGGTCAGCGCCAGAGTTACACCCATGGGAGGAAACGGACCTGCACTTGTGAGTGAAAATAACACCCCGAATTCCCTAGTCAGGCCGAAGAAGCGAGCCAGGCGTCCCAACCTAACCCCAACGACTCAGCCTCCAGCAGTATCAACTCCATTCTCTCTCCCTCCTATAAGTAAAAACATTACCTGCAGCGCGCCTGCCTCAACTTCTGTACTGTGTGCTGCACCTAGTAGTCTGTTCGCTACACACGAGACCGTAAGCTACAGTCAACCAGCAATAGTGAACAACCCGGCAACGTACGCATCGGTTGCCGCCAAGCAAACACCGGAGAGAGCACCGGTAACCTTTGTGCCCGGACTAGAGAAAACTAAAGTGTCGCAGCACGGATGGCACCCATCAGTGCCTTTCACAAATTCACCAAAAACACCGGATACTAAGCCTCCAAATCCAAAACCAGTAGCCACCAGGCGCAACCATGGTGCTCTTAAGGTTTTATTCACAAATGTCCCCGAATCCAAATCCAATACAATTAAGGGTAAGTTGACGGACGATCGAAATCAGTGGGGTTCCATCTGTACGTCGATCGGTGTCCATGCTAATCCCACGACATTAAAAGAATCTCGCGCCACCCAAACGCGTTGCACTACGGCGAACCCCGGTTACTTCGGGTAACACTAAACTCGGCGGACGAGACTGAGGCCGTTCTGCTGTCTGCGAATCGTCTCCGCAACGACTCAAGTGGAGTGCGCATACTACCCGAAATCCCGTGGAAAGAACGTTCAGGGGATCCCGCTAACAAAGATAGGTACAGAATAAGTCAAGATAAGAAAACAGTGATTGCTCACGGTGTTCCTGAGCTTACTGATTCCTCTTCCGACGATGCTCAGATGCACGACCGCGAGCAATGGCACTACATCCGGGAGGCTCTTTCTCTCGAAAATGTCGTGGCCATCTCGTTGACAAGGATCCCCATATCACCAAACTATAAGGGGTGCGGTCCCAGGCTGTTAAAACTTGTGTTACAGTCAGAACTGATGGCACAAACCCTACCAAATAACTGGGCTTAATTCCGTTGCAGATTACCAACATAAATTCGTCTGTAAGCAGCTGGAACACCAGCACCTTCTAAGGATAATGCAGTAGAGGCACAGCTCTTAATGAAAACGCCAACTGCAGGACCAGACTTGAGGACGGTTTCAAGAGTAACAATAACATCCGGAGGGACACAGCAGAGCACGAGCAAACGCCGGGATCCGGGGCATCTGATACTTGACTACATACCAAATTCGTCTCGAGAGTCTGCAACCCATCCAAAAGACGATTAGTCGCCGACCCTTTATTGGTCGGCGTAAACTCACTTGCTTCATCCATCCAATCTAACACACTTTTGGTCTCCGAGAAGCTCTCATGTATGTACACAAATGCCTAATGTCTACTCAGCAAATTAGCTGATTTGAGACTTCGACACGCGTCAGCAGCTTGGGACCTCATCGCTGTCACCGAAACGTGGTTGCGCTGCGAGATAACGGATGCTGAAATCGAGCTAACGGGCATGTCCGTTGTCCGGAAGGATCGAACCAGCAAAGGTGGTGGGGTAGCCCTCTACTTTCGTAACAACATGCAATGCGAACCCATAAACGATTCGGAAACCGACGTACCTGACGCCATTTGGTGTAATTTCCGGCTGAGAGGGAACGATCTTGGCCTATTGGTTGTTGTTTACCGCCCACCATCGTCTACTCCTGAGATGGACTGCAATTTGATGGCTGCGTTGAGGCAAGTGATAAACAGGAAGTACAGTCACATTCTAGTCACCGGTGACTTCAACTTACATGCCTCGAATCCCAGGCCACACCAGGAGAGCAATTCAAAGCAGATTTGCAAGATCTGGTTTCAGACTTCCCGCTTTATGGCCACGTCACTACGCCCACCAGGTTCAGGGGAACTGACAGGCCATCCATGTTGGACCGAATATTCACCAATGAAGAACTGATGGTCGAGAGAGTGATAACCGATACTCCTTTGGGCCGCAGTGATCATGCGACGCTATTGTTTCATTACATGTGCTACGCGGATTATCCTAAAGAGCATGCCGAGGAATATCATGTCGTAACCAACTATGACGACCTGTCCGACCTCATTGATGCAACCAGCTGGTCGTTCTTAGCTGAATTAACCCCTGAGGTGGCCTGCGGTGAATTCGTCAACATATTTACCAAGCTCGTGGCAAGGACATCTGAAACCAAACTCTGCCGGCCTAAAAGGATGAAGTCTTTCGTAAGGAGCAGGACACGTAAATGCATGGCATTAAGGGACTTGGCATGGCACACCTACATAGCCTCCCCGAACGACCATACCTGGGATGTCTACACAATACAAAGGAACCACTGTGTCAAACTCGTCCTGGAGGATAAACTGAAGAACCAACAAGGTCTAGTGGAAAAGTTTTGCTCCAATCCCAAACTGCTATACAGACACGTAAACAATTTGCGCCGTGTTAAGCGCGGTATTCCTGCTCTGCACACAGCATGCGGGTTAGCCCAAACCGCACAAGAGGCGGCCAACGTCCTTGGACAACAATTTGGCCGTACCTTCCAAAGCGTGCAATCATCATACATCCTGCCTAAGCAGATAACGCCGCCATCAGGGCTTAATCACATATCGTTCACCTCCGCAGCTGTACTGAAGAGGCTGATGTCTCTGCGCGAGTTCAGCTCCCCGGGTGCGGACGGCATTCGCCCGAAGGCGTTGAAAGTTGCTGCCATGAGTTTGGCAGGACCACTAGCAATTTTCTTTCAACGATGTCTGAACGAGATGCACGTCCCCACGATGTGGAAGCACGGAATCATCACGCCAATCTACAAAAGTGCAGTCGTGCTGAACCAGCAAATTATCGCCCGATAACACTACTTCCTGTGATCTCCAAGGTTATGGAGTCCATTGTAGCTGAGGCTTTGATGGGGTACCTGGAGAACAACAAAATTCTCGTTCCGGAGCAGCATGGATTTCGCCAAAATCGCTCCTGTACCACTAATCTGTTGATTGCTCGTGCAAGCTGGACGGAATCTGTGGACGCTGGTGTAGGAGTCGACGCGGCCTACTTGGATTTCTCAAAGCATTCGACCGTATAGACCATCGCATTCTCCTCCACAAACTCCAGAAATATGGAATCGGCGATCCTGTTCTGGGCTGGATAGGAGACTTTCTCGTGCAACGTCACCTGAATGTGAGGGTTAGAAGCAACCTGTCGGAATCCATCGAAGTTCAGTGCGGCGTACCTCAAGGCTCGGTACTTGGACCCCGCCTGTTCCTGGTTTTCATAAATGATCTCGCTAGCGTGCTATCTTCTAACTGTTTGCTATTTGCTGATGACCTAAAGGTATGGCGTACTATAGCTGCAGTGGAGGATCACACAGTGTTACAGGAGGACCTGGACAAAGCGTACACATGGTCCATCGAGAACATGCTGCACTTCAACGTCACCAAATGCAAAGTTCTCAGCATACGGCACAAGAGTATGCACAAGTACCGCCCAGGACCACAAATTCTACAGCGGGCTTCTCACGAGTGCGATCTCGGCGTGATAGTTCAAGACGACCTCGGTTGTTTGAGGCAGACTGAAAAGGCAGCTAAGAAAGCAAACCAGTACCTCGGCCTTCTTCGCAGAGCTTTCGGGAAGTTTGACCCTTCAGTCTTTCCAAAAATGCTTAGTGCGTATGTGAGGCCGCACGCGGAATACGCTATTCAAGCGTGGCAACCCTGGCTCAAGCACCATCTCATCGCGCTTGATACTGCACAACGTAGGGCAACGAAGAGCATCAGAGGTTTGACCAGCCTCCCCTACCCACTATGGCTGAAGACCCTCAAAATATACAGTGGACCTTACCGGCGTCTAAGGGGCGATCTCATAATGGTGTACCTGATCTTGAGAAACCCCAACCACCCATGCCATTCCCTTCTAATACTCAGTCAAAACACCTCGCTAAGAGGTCACCAGTTTAAGTTAGTCACGCAGTACAGCCGCCTGGAATGTCGGCGAAACTATTTCTCCCTTCGAGTGTCACAGCTTTGAAACGCCCTCCCGGAACATGTAATTAATGCACCCACCCTATCCCTTTTCAAAAAGCGCTTTGACGATACTCTGTCACATTTACACCATGTGCTATAGCCCATGACCACCAGATGCTGGCACTAATGCACAACAGACAGTGGATAGTGCCATAACCCTACTCGAGAATGAGTCACTCCAAACGCCTTGCACGAAATTGGATAAACGCTACTACTACTACTACTACTACTACTACTACTACTTTGTGTGCGTACATTCTCATTTCAAACTCCCTTAATACGGCAGTGCAGTTACGTCTGTAACCGCCAGAACTGACAACTTCATTACCCCCTGATCTATCTTTTTTCACGCTAAACATCCTACGGGACATGTCAAGCACCTGCTTTTTTACCCGTTATAAAGCATTGCTCATTGTTCATTGTATTTATTAACTACCTGGCAAGAGTTATATCGTCAAATTGCTTGCTTTTTGCCGATGACGTCAAGATATGGTGGGTGATTAGGAACGAAGATCACGATCTACTCCAACCTGACCTCGATTCCATTTTTGAATGGTCAAATGGGAACCTGCTTCAATTGAACATAGCTAAATGCAAAGTGATGCATCTGCGTCACCAGCCGGTGAGCGCTTACAAGATTGGAGACCACACTTTGGAGAATGTCTCTCAGGAGCGTAACCTAGGTGTATTTGTACAGGAAGATCTCGGGTGTTCAAAACAAGCAGAGCATGCGATGAGAACCGGCAATCAACACTTAGGATTGCTTCGCAGAGCATTCGGTCGTTTTGCAGCCTCAATTTTTCCCCAGATGCTTAACGCCTACATGCGACCTCACGTGGAATATGCTATTCAGGCGTGGCACCCGTGGCCGAAACAGGAGCTCGTTGCTCTGGAGACTCAGCAACGAAGGACAACCAAGAACGTCAGGTGCCTCTTTCATCTGCCCTATCAGCTTAGACTGAAATCGCTAAGAATATACAGCAGTAGATTTCGGCTTTTGCAGGGGGATCTCATAATGGTTTATCAAACCACATGTGTCGCCCGCTGTTGGAATTCATCCACAACATTAACGTAAGGGGTCGTGATCTGAAACTGACAATACGGTATAGCCGGTTTTAATGCCGCAGACATTTCGTTTCCTTCCGCCTGTGCCAGCCTTGGAAAACCCTCTCTAATTATGTCATCCCTGTTCCCATTCTGGCGATATTTAAACAACGAGTTGACGATCCGTTGTCTCATTTGCATTTCATTGTAGGACTTTTAAACCAGGGATTAAAAAACAGAAATAATATTTCGCCTTCGGATACAACACTAGTCCTACAGAGAGCAGATATTTCATTTAAAGTGACCAATATCGAAGTTAAGTCTAGAAGCCACATTTAATGCACGCGGCCGCTAGCATAGCATGTATCAGTGACTAGTGAAAAATAGAGTGGAGGTACAACTGATCATTTTACCATCGGTCGTATACATTACACTGTTTTGTTCCGATTATACCATAGTTGCATGCGAAGTTTGAAGTTGCTCAGTGACTGGTAGTTGATAGGAGATGCAGCAGGCTGGGACTTCGTCATTAAAGTATTTTAACGACCAAAGTCCACCACGAAGATTGCCCCTTCTTAATTCGTCTGAACAATTTTCCAACTAGGTGGATTGAATAGCTTTATTAAGAATTCTATTTTGTTAGTTGTGGTGGTCGGTTCTATTAGCAAGCATTGTTAGCTGCGACGCACGCAGACTAAAACACACGGCATCCTGCACGCTGTTTCGCCTGGAGCTGCGTTATGTTAGCATGCGTTTCAGTGGGCGCAGGGGAATTAGAAATCACTTCGTTTAAATCATTAGCGAAAGAAATGTGTCTAGACTAACATCAGTAACATCTGTCACACCCAGCACTTGACATGACGGGTATTGAAACTGACGGCTTTAGATGAAGATTAACCTACGTTTTCCCGTCTCGTGCGACAGCAAACGGTAAGAAAGCTTGGTGCAGACTAGCAAACAGACGGTGACAGACTGCAGTTGTCAAAAGTCGCATGCAAACTGAACGTCGAGATCAGTTCAAACTAGTGATAGTCAAAGGAAGTATGGATAAGCGTAGTTTTCCAAGTGGTACAATATATGCTCCACCGTGAAATGACGCTGCGTACTGCTTTCGAAATGTTTGATAAGGCCACCTACTTCCGTTTGTTGATTATTATAAAATACTAGAGCTCCTTAACCGTGTCAGGGATAATGTTGCCGAGGCAACGTGTAAAGCCACTAAATCCCGAGTATCTGTTAGTTTATTTATTGCGTAAGCGAACCACATGTATAACGGTTATTCGGTTAGGACAAGTTCCACCTCAACAAGAACTAATAGATAATTAATGTGACCGTGAAAGGGAAATCACTGAATACAAAAATACCTAGCAAATATTCTATAAACAACTTTCCATCTGTTCATTCGAAGACCATGCAGATCACTAAAAGTGACAAAAGGTTTAGTATGGATAAGGATGCTGGGGAAGAGAAAATCGATAGAAAGGTTTATCAACGGTGTATGGATTGATTGTAGGCAACTCATGCGCTGAAATCGTTGAAAGTGAAAAAATTCAAATACCAGCTGAGGTATCCTTTGCTGAACAGAACTATGGCTCTGTGATATAGACATTTTTATCATTATTAAGTTAACTCCCTGTGTAACATTTTGAGACTGGACACACAGGGATAGTAGCGGAATCTATACAGCGAACTAGAAAACTTTGGACGTAAATGAACTAAAGGGGCACATCGGAGTCCCATCTTTGTTTAAAATTCGTGAACTAAACATGAAACTATTTAGAAGACTGTAAGGCTAAGACGATGGCTGTCCAATAAATGATAAAGGAATAGGGAGATAATCGTTCGGAAATATGTGGTATACTCTTAGATTGGCGGATGTTGAGAGCAGAACCAGAACAGAGGAAGCAGTTAAATTTGGGACATAAAACCCGCACATACAAATGTTTTGATGTGAAGTCGACGTCTAAGTTGTGCGTATGTTTCTGGTTGTGGACTCGAGATGGATATACGACTAACGAACTTTGTTCCTAATGTTCTTTCATACTTCACATTATATAGTTCGGCGGGTAAAGCCAACAGTCGCATATCTCGATAAGTTACAGATGTCTTAATACTTCGCTTTGATATCTGCTGTCCACTGGCAATCATTTTCATCCGTACGGATCGGTTTTCATCTGCATACTTAAAACGTTTGCGTGGACTGAGAGAGAAAGCGTTTAAAACGAAAGACCATGCTGCATTGAAATCTTTTCCTAATTCTATCAAAACTGACTTATGCTGTCCAGACTACTTATCTGTCCAGACCAAACGTGAAACTGGTAGCTGCCGGGATATCTGACGTATGCTGAAAACCTTAGTTGTGTCTCTAACCGTGTGTCGAATCCAGGTGTGAACCTGGATGCACTGAACCGAAACTTCTATTGCTACCATACTAACTCCACCTCTCACCCTTCTTCCCCACGATTGGATCGGCCCATAACCTCCTTACCTGCCAATGACAGAAATACAGTGCGCAATAAAACACTACGGACTAGCACCAGTTGTCCTCAAAGTGGGTGCCGATTCTTTAGCCCAGCCGATTGCTGACCTATAAACGTTGTGCATGAAAGCGTGTGATATTGCTGACTGCTAAAGAAGTTGCGGAATTACCCCGGTGTCAAAGAAAACCTCAGATAAATACCGACCAATTACCAGTACCTCGTTAAACTTGAAGATATTCGAGAGGAATATTCTTGAAAGGTTGCTGAATCTGAAGTATTCCGATGATCCGCTACAAATGGCTTATGATAGTTTGAGGTTTACTCACGAAGCCGTAGCCTACCTTGTACACACATTGCTGTCGCCACTAGATTCCATGCTCAAATCCGTACGAATGTGTTTTCTCGACTAAAGGAATGCTTTCGGCAGTGCAAACGGTGGGCTTCACTTGAAAGACCTGTAGGATGCCGGAATTCAACTCTCTACTATCCGCCTTTTGAGACACTACTTCAGTGGATGAGCCCAGTTTACTCAATTTGGG